CGCAGAGTGGAGACAACGATGGAGGCTTGATGGATCCAGGGCGGATTCAGTGGAGCCTGGGTTGGGGTCCATACGACGCTGCCAACAAGGCTAGTGAGGCTAAGCAGCGGACGCCAAGGCATCGAGCCAACCAATTGTGAGGCTGGAGCACGTGCGGCTTGGCCTTGCTTCTTTCTTCCAACTGCACTTCTCGATTTCAACCTCATGCATCTTTAGCAAGCTTCGCGCAGGGACAGGCTGCTTGGAAACGTGTTCGCTCTCATAGGATGGAGCATACGGAAGGGCTCGCCTTCAGAGGCTTTCGGAGTATGGCCGCCTCTCGGTCTCGCTTGCCAGGGCAATATCGACCAGCGCCTGGGAAGGAAGTACCTATGCCATTCTTACCCGAGCCCGACCCCAAATCAGCCTTGCCATTTGCGTTGGTGGCCATCCGAGTCGCAACGTGCGCCTACACCAACCTGGGCAGTTGGAATGGCAAAGGATTTGCAAGCGGTTCAAACGGCTAGACCGGCGCGCTGCCCGGTGACGGCCATGCGAACCATTCGTGGACTCTCTCCCTCCGCCACGGCAGGAATCAGCGAGGGAGGTGTCTGTGGCGAACTTGAACATACGCCCCGCTAGTGAGATTAGATTTTCTTCGTGTTTATCTGTACAGGTCATTCGACACCACCCTGTTGTGGACTGCGTGCCATCGACTTTGAACGTACTGTCAGGAAAATGGCCCAAGATACGTCTGCAGAGCAAAAGGCTGCTGAGGAGCAGCAGTTCGCTCCCACTTTGGGTACTGGAGCGGTATCAGGGGCAAAAGATGGAAGAGTTCATTCGAGAGCCTCGCGGAGAACAACGTATCTCGCACTCTTCGTGGTTGTTGTGGTAGTTGTCCTGGGACTGGCGCTAGGGCTGGGTCTTGGTTTGGGACTAAAACACTCCAACAAAGGACAATCGAACAGCGCTGCCGGGTCTCCTTCGCCGTCAAACAGTTCGTCGCCCAGCGAGGATTCGCAAGCGTCGATGGTGGTTCCTCCGTGGAGATCAAATGTGGAAGACTACACTCTCGATATAGCAAGCTGGGACTTCAATGCACCGCCGACTACACGAGAATATAACTTCACCGTCAGCGAAATTGAGCTGTCACCGGATGGTGTCTTTCGCCCGGTCGTCGCCATCAACGGTCGCTTCCCAGGCCCGCTGATCCGTGCTAACGTGGGTGACCGCCTCCTCATTCATGTCCAAAACAACCTACCGAATGGGACTGCTTTTCACTGGCATGGCCTTTATCAGAACGGCACAAATTGGATGGATGGGACTTCAGGGATAACTCAATGCCCAATTCCTCCGGGTGCAAATTTCACTTACAACTTCACCGTGGAAAACCAATTCGGAACTTATTGGTATCACACCCACTATTCGACCACAAACGGAGATGGCCCAGTCGGACCGCTAATTATCCATTCGCCGGATGAACTCAAGATGCAGAAGTACTATGATGTGGACCAAGTTGTGCTCATACAAGATTGGTACCACGACTATAGTCAGGCCCTTCTCCCCGACTATCTCGCCAGTGGAAGTGAAAACAGCGAACCTGTACCCGACAATGGCGTGATCCAGGGAACCAACTATTTCAACTGTTCAACGCTCGATTCTGACAGTGGCTACGTCTGCGAGCAAAATTCGACACGTGCAGTGTTTACGGTTCAGCACGGCAAGCGTTATCGGTATCGCTTGATCAACACGGGCGCATTCGCCACATTTGAGTTCTCCATAGACAACCATCCTCTCTCCGTCATCGAAGCGGATGGGACTGCCACGGAACCCCTCTCGGTCCACCGACTTGATATTGCTGTGGCGCAGAGATATTCGATCGTCATCAACGCCAATCAATCGGCAGGATCAAACTACTGGATGCGAGCGCAGATGAATACATTTTGCTTTGGAGGTCCAAACCCAGTCCTTGACCCTAACGTGAGGGCTCTGATAACGTATGCCAATAACACAGATGAACCAACGAACTCGACGGACTGGAAGGATGCAATGGATGTTCAGTGTGTTGGCCTGAACTCGTCGTTGTTGACACCATTCTTCGAATCAGAAGCACCTCCAGCCACGACATTGTATGCTATAGCGGCTAACTTCCAGATTGGAGACTATGCCCTAGATCGCGCCTATATCAATGGAACCTCCTGGGTCATGGCCGATGTGCCCACGTTGAATCAAGCTGTAGCGGGACTCCAGGCGGCCAACACCTCGTTTACCACTTCTGGAGTAAGCTCGGCCTTCACTGCCAACCAGTATGTCATTGACATCCCCGACTACGCCGTAGTGGATCTTTTGATCACCAACTACGACGAAGGAGCACACCCGTTCCATTTGCATGGTCACACTTTCTGGGTTCTTGCCTCGTCTCCTGATCAATACTTCGACTGGTCGACCTACGACGGATTAAACAAGACACTTTCCAATGTCATGCGACGGGACACACTCATGATTGATGCGTACGGTTGGGCACTCATTCGTTTTAAGGCAGACAACCCGGGACTGTGGGCCTTGCATTGCCATATCAGTTGGCATATGGAGGCAGGCCTCCTCATGCAGTTCCAGGCCCGGAATGATATTATGAGGACGTGGACGATTCCTTCGGATGTGCTGGGGCTGTGCTTTGCCTGATGAGCTAACGTCTGCTTCGTTACTACACCCGTGTAACAGATATGTTAGACTATCAGACGCAATATATTTGACATGTATTAACAGGGATCCCTTCCACCCCGAAGCCAGATTAAGCTTGGCGCCAAGCCGGTGCCAGCCGAAATGAGGCGCGGCTGAATTAAGGCGGCAACGCATTGCTCCTGGAATGGAATAGTCCAGGGACAGCGGTTCATGCGCGTCAATCCAAGGGATGAACCTCCAAACTTCTAGAGAAAGACCGTGTTTGTCCTTCAGTTGTCGAGCATTTTCTTCCTCTCTTAGCCATTCGCACTCTTTGTCTTGCAACACTACCTTGTTCAGTCACTCTCTTTGGCCATTCTACTTCTCGCGAGAGTTCTTTTCAATCTTTTCTCAACCCCAACCCCTTGCTGCACGAGATTTACAATTCGACCCCCTTCCATCCCTTGTGAAGATCTGACTTGAACAACAACTCCAGCATGCAACTCCGCGACGTTCTTTCCACTGTTCTGGCTACGGCACCGCTGGCAGTGTCCGCAGCTGGTACACTTGGCTTCGCCGTCGGAAATACCAATCCCGATGGCACCTGCAAAACCCAATCCGACTTCGAAGCCGACTTCAAGGCTATCCTGAGCAATACCGATGCTCAGCTAGTTCGAACCTACTCTTCCTCCGATCAGTTTGGCAATCCTTGCCACACTCCCTCAGAAGTCCTCCCGGCTGCCAAGTCTGCAGGCATCAAGGTGTTGTTGGGCATGTGGTGAGTGATCCTCCAGGGCGCAGGCTTGTTGAACTTGGCTAATGGACATACGCTAGGCCTGATGGTGGTGCCTACGACAAGGAGAAGGCGGCAGTTGACGAAGCGGACCCTACTTCTTACGGTGATACACTGTACGGCATCACAATCGGTTCGGAGGGCATGTACCGAGGCACCTACAACGCCGACGAGCTTCTGGGTTGGATTGCAGACATGCAAAAGTCCTATCCCAATACGCAGCTTGGGACTGCAGACAGCTGGAATTGTTGGAACAATGGCACCATGGATTCGATCATCCAGAGCGGCATTCAACTAGTGTAGGAGCTACCAAAAGCTGTGCGTTATTTGGGGCAAAGCTGACCAAGGACAGCCTCGCCAATGGCTTTGCTTACTGGCAATACCAAGATATCTCAAATGCAACAAAGACCTACTTCGACGACATGGCTCAGGCCCTAGGTCACGTTCAAGAAGTCAGCGGCAGCCTGGACAAGATCCATTTCATGAACGGCGGTAAGAACAAGCCCTGAAGCCATTTCATTGTGAGCCATCTTTAACGATTCTCCCAGAAACGGGTTGGCCAGGCACCGGTGGCTCGGACGCTGGCGCTGCAAAAGCGGGCGACGACAACATGAAGACATACTGGCAGTCCGCCGTCTGTGGCATTTTGGACTGGGGCATTGACCTGTTCTGGTTTGAGGCCTTTGACGAGCCTAACAAGGCGGACGCCATTGGTGACAACGGACAATCTGCGAGCGAGCAGCACTGGGGGTCTTTCACTTCTGACCGACAACCCAAGTTCGACATGCACTGCTAGAGTGGCACCCAAAATGTTGCCACACCTTTGACGCCCCCTGCTACCACCAACTGTCTTGCATATACCTCCGGGTGTCCGACTCATACGGCGTTTAGGGAGGGGGTGTAAATATTTTTGATTTGGGTAATCTGAGCCAGAACGAAAAGAACCTTTGTGTTTGCTTGCAAGGAGAAATCTGCCGTGCGTGCGTGCTTGCTTGTGTCCATCTGTGCAAACAAAAAGGGCTGATGTCGAAAACAAAAAGCAAAAACAAGCTAGTTAGCTTGATGAAATTGACAATGCTCCCATCATCACATCGCATCCATTCAATTTGTCCTCGGGAAATGACAGACTTCCTGTGTACACTCATGTCCAAATGGTGTACCTAGTGCTCGCTCACACCCGTTCTTTCCCAGTAGCTATTTATCGGGTGACCAGAGTTTCTCACTGGCCAGACCAGGCCACGCCATGCGAGGCGTGTTGGACCTACTAGATCTAATGGACTGTCGCGAAACTGATATTGGTTTTGGAGGAGGAGAAGAAGATGAAGAAGTCGTTGTTGCGTTGTATCGACACTGTAGATGAAGACCTTGGTACGTACACCTACCTAGGTAGTAAAAATGGAGCTCTAACACCTCCGGCTCAGCAAACGTTGCGCGTATATTGCTAACTCCGAGTCGCTAATATCCAAGACTCCCGTCCCCGCGACCTAATTTCCAAGAAAGGTCCCATAGTCCACCTCATTGCTATTGATTGCCTCAGCTGGCTTGGATGGCATCCTTACCATCATCATCCAGCTTGATCCGCCCTCCTCCCTTCCTGCACTAACTCGACCCTCTTGATTGGATGCAACAGCACGCCAGGCAGACACATCCTCCCTTCCCCTGCCACCTCCCACTGTTCCCCGCCGTCATTGTTGAACTTCATTCCCAACCATCGATGCCAGAGAACCTCGGGGAACCCGGCATTGTAATACCAGGTGGTACCTCTGAAGTTATGCTCGCGCTCGCCAAAGACAGAGGTGCGGGCGCCGCCGGTGGCGCCATTGCGGCCTGCATTGAAGACTGAGGCGAGATAGTTGGTGGGCCATTTGCGGTCGATGTATTCTGGGTGGGGCACGTAGACGGCCTTCAGGCCGTGTTGCAGCGCGCAGGAGGCGGGCCACATCTCGGAGAACATGCTGTGTTTCTTGAGGGCGGTTTCCTTGTGCATAGTTAACAGTAATTTGCGAGAGAGACGGGACGCCGTTATTATGGCGGTCCGGCGTGGTGGACGGCCACGCGTGATGTTGTACCCCGTGGTGTCATCCGTCAGAAGCCACGTCGTGCCATCGGGGTCGAATAGCGGGTTGAACACAATCAAGTCTGCTTCTTCGCCGACACCCCATGTGTACTTGTCCTTTTCAAACGAGGTGGGTGGAGTCGGGTCCGTATCCATGGCGACGTCGTCATCAAGCGGTCGTTCAGGACCCCAGATTGGTTTGTCACCTTGCTGTTTCATCGCTCCCGCAGGGGTAGTCTTGGAGCTCGGGTCATTGGGATCCTTGTTTGCGCGGTTCAGACTGCTCCATAGATTGGCGACGCTGTTTGTGCCGTGTTCCGTTTGGATGCGAACCATTTGGCTAAAGTCTTCCCATTCGCCGTGTTCGGAGGGAACATAAAACCGGCTGTTTCTTTCCCAGAGGAGTTTGCGTGGTTGCTGCTTGGCCCATTTCGTGACGCTGTCGAAGAAATGGTACCAGTGGTGCGTGGTTCGAATGTCCATCTCCCAGTTCCAGAAGAAATCGTACTCGGGATGCTGATAGGCGAAGTATTGCATGGGCATAAAGGTACTGCGATACACTCCGTGAACGGGCAATCCGCGCATGTTTGTCTCTTCCAGACCGCCGTACATGAGCTCCATTTGCTTTTCGGTCCAGAGGGTGCCCATGCCTCTGAATTCTTCGGGTAATGAGTCTCGAAGAACACGCTCGTAGGTTTCGTCATCGGAGAATATGGGCACATCGTTGGATTTGACTTGGACCAGGAAATGCACCACATACTCACCGCCGCTCAACATGGTCAACTCTGAAATCAGGGAACGAAGATAGATCTTGTCTTCGGGCGTGTATGGGTAATCCCACCAAGTGCGGATCACAACTGCCGTCCGAGGAAGTCTTTCTGAGCCAGTCTTGGGCCTCTTGGGGCTCTCGGGTGTCTTTGTTGGCATGGCCTCAAAATCAACAAGATCGTCTCTCTTGTTGTAGACGGTGCCGATCGGCATCGCTCGGAACGTATCGATTCGTGGTTTCTCGGGCAGTTCCTTGAAACGGTGATTATTTGCCAACACGCATCTTTGCTGAGCGTCGGCCCAATGGACTTTTCTCCAGTCCACTTCGGGCGCTTCCTGCCACACCAAATCGGCCCCTTCTCTTTCGCCCTCCTGCTGGGCACCACTTCCACCTCGGTTGATGCTGTACCCAAGGCCATAGGGTCCCAAGCGCCCAAATCGGTCATAGCAGATGTCGTCCCTGAGACCCAGGAGCTTCGCAGAACCCATGACCATGTCCGGAAACCCCCGTGGAATGCCCTCGTATATCCGCACCTGCGGGATTGAGATGGTATTCTCGGCATCCAGGTAACAGTCCACCTTTTCACCGTATTTGGCAACATATTCTGGCGAAGTGTAGCTGGGATATGGTTCGAATCTCTTGCTAGGCTGGATCGCTCTCTTTCTCCTTTCCTTTCTAGCAGGGTGAGCCTCGTCTGGCGTTAAGTTTTCAACAGCTTCTTCAGTAATATTCAGTTTCTCCCATTCCACCTCGTCCTCCTTCCGTGGATACTCAGGCACGTTATCCACGACCGGCACCATCGACCGTATTCCCCCATAATATCTTTGCAGAAACGGAAAATCTTCCCATGGGGGAGGTTTGGGCTTCATCTTTTCTTGTTCAATGGCTTCTTGCACCTCCTGTTCTGCGACGTAACTCATTCGCACCAGCGAAAAGATGAAGATGAGGAGGGTGACGGCGACCCCTAGGCAGAGATATCGCATGATGGACCGAGGCATCCTGCCGAGGTAGGAGGGGGAAGAGGATCGTTTGGAGCTGTAGGCTTTGTTGATGAGCATGGGCTTGTAGGAGGCAGAGGTGGCTCGGGAGGACGCGACCGAAGGGTTTCCTTCTTCCTCGTCGAAGGTGTCGTTACTATCGTCTTCGCTGCTGTGTGGGTGACGATTTAGAAAACCTTCCTTCTCGAGATCTGATTCTCCCCGACTCCGTATTCGTGCCATCGAGGTTGCGTTGTCTATTCCTAACGACGAACTCCGTGGCCATCCCATTGTTGTCGTGAACTCGTTGCTGCGGGCCGCAGCCTCGGCGCATCGTTGACTTGGACAGGCTCTGTCGCAAGAGGGGCTGAAAATACTCCTAGAAGAGAGAGCGTACAGGCGCAAAATCGGGGTGGCGCGTGTGGCAGAAAGATCCAAGGTTGGTTTGTAGGATGCAAATTGAGTTCTCGGCGTGAGTTCTAATCGTACAAGTGTCGCGCCCTCAAAGATTCCAGTTGCAGACCCTCACAAAATTCTCCGGGTTCGTCAATAAAGTACACAAGCATGCAAGGAGACGGTAGATAAACAAAATTACTAGTATATACACAGAAACAGTGGGAAGAGTCGGGTGTCGCAGACGGCCACAGCTGGAACAAACCAGTTGGTGTTGGTCGGCGCCAGGGTTGGTTGGGCACAAGGCCCCAAAGGCCCTTATCGTTGTCCCGGTTTTCATCCACCGTCAACATCAGGCCCACAACGTCCCCCCAAATCCGGGAAAGCGGCACTCGAACACGAACAACGAGCGGAACAGCGGGAGGAAGGTGTAGTTGGTGTGGAGTAGGAACAAGGGGAAGGGGGGAAAAGGGGGAGTTTAGGACCTGGCTCGCTGGATAGGGATGGGATGAGGCAAAGGAAAAGGAGCAGTTTGAACTCTGTCGTTCACAAGGCCATTTCTCTTCCTCGGCGAGCCAGGTGTCAGAAAAGACTATTACATGACCTCTGGTCTCATCATCTTGCTGATTGAGCTCTTGTTGTCTTGTGCCTCATTGTGTCTCTTTCATCGCAGTCACCGTGCCTCAATGCGTGGCCAGTGCCGACGTCGCGCCGTTCCTTTCTTCCACTTGATCCATGGCCTAGCACTGCTAACACATCGTTCCCTTCAGTCAGTCAGATTTGTGGTCTAGGAGTCGTTCCCACTCGGCGGCAAGCCTTCGACTCCTTTACCCAAGTCCTCCTTCATTGCCTTGCCCCCAATCTCCAGGCTCTTGCAGTCCTGCAGCACAAAGATCATCCTCGCCCACTCAGTCTCGCTCGCGTTCTTCCATGCGTGCATTGTGGCCCTCTGCACCGCCACGTCGCCTCTCTGCATCAACTTCCTGTCGCCGCTGTCTAGGATCATCTCGATCGTACCCTCGAGGACAATGCCGTAGTCTAGACTCTGAGTTCTGTGCATAATACACTCGTATCCGGGGGCAAAGTCGACTACGCGACAGACGGTGCCGTTGGGGCTGACGAGACCGAGTTTACCTTTGGAGAGGACTTCATCGTGGGTTTTGAGATCGTGGTCGTTGTTGAGGTCTGCTGGGAATTCCGAGGTCGTGTAGATCACATTGAAGGCCATGAGCTTGTCGTCAAACACAGTCCAGTTGCCGGGTCTGCTGTCCTGTACGATGGCCTTGCCAGTGTCGCCATCGTGACCGGTGATGTGAGTGGTGAGGCCAGGTAGATTGTTGGGAATTTGGGTAGGATTAGGAGGACGGGCGGACGACATGTTCGCTTAAGACAAATGGTGGAAATGGCTTGCCGATTTGAATTGGTTGAGGTCGGGATGAAGTTGAAAAGAAGCGAGGTTGAGGTTGCGAGGAAGAGCTGCCGTCGCCTCACCGCCGCCGATGCGTCCTGTAAGAAGGGGAAATCGCCTTTTCACTTCCGACCTTTATCTATTGTCGTACAAAAGCCAACATTGACCTGGGCAAGACTGCCCTGTACAATATACCGAGCAATAATGATAAATACCCCGCGTCTGGGGGCTAGAGGCCACATTCGCACCCCGCAAGTGGGAAAATACATGGGCGTCTTCCAGCCCTATCATGGCCTTCAAATCTGTCTACACTGTACGGAGTACCCAGCTCTCTTTTCTGGTAGCACATCATTTCATCTCTAGCCCATTACAATACCATCTTGAACTCCGGATCCCGGTCGTCGCCGTATCCAATATACTTGTCGTACTTGCCGTTGGCCTTGTCGCGATTGATCTTGGCGCAATATAAGACGTTGCACAATATCCTGTGTTCGGTTGTCAGAAAGCCCACGTGTTTGACCAAAATGAGGAGAGGCTCTCGGAAGACTTACGCAAACCATGCATAGACCAGCAATCCCAAAATGATGGTGTGCGACTTGTGATATTGGGGAGCTTGGGTGGATGGATAAATGAAAGCTACTGGAAGATCAGCGACCACGACGTCTTGTCTGGCTGTTGCAAGACAATGTACTCACCACTGACGAATCCACCCGCGTTGGCTATGGCCAGCTGAAGACCGCTTGTTGTGGCGCGCTTGTAGTGTCCAGCAGAATTGTTCGAATTCCACACCAGAACGGGTGGGACACTGGCATATAACCCTGTGGCCATCAAAAATGTCATACCGTATTTGGTATGGTTGTCATGCTCGTCGACATTGGCTATCGCTGCATATCCGATGATAGCCAGAGGCAACACGAAGAGCATCGCAACCCCGCGAAGCTTCAGGCGATCCGAGGCGATGGCCACGATCACTGTGACGACAGCTGCAACGGCGTAAGGGATGACAGACCAAAGCTGAGCTTCGTTGGCAGTATACCCTAGGCCCTTGATGATGGTTGGTAGGAATAGACCGAAAGAGTACAGGCCAGAAAGAATTGAGAAATAGGCCGTCGCGGTCAGCCATAGTTGAACATTCAGGATGCCTCGTTGGACCTCTGACCATCGGAACTTTTCAACCCCTTCAGAATGCTGGCCATCGGGCAAGTGCGCGGAGGTATCATTCCGCAGTCTCCTCTTACCGAGCTCTCGCTCCTCAGGTTTTAGGAACCAGGCTGTTGAGACGCTGTTTGGGAGTAGGAAATACGCAGCCACTCCGGCAGCAAACGTCAGAAGACCTTCGATAATCATGATCCATCGCCAGCTAGTGAAGAGTGGCATAAGTATCACATAGCCTGGAGAGAGAATAGGGAGGAAGCCTACTCACCCAGCATCCACGACACTGCCAGTGGGCCCAATGGCTGAAAGACCACGTGCTAAAAGACCTCCAAAAGCTCCTGCAAGAGATGCACTGGTATAGAACAATCCTATGCGGAGGGCCAGCTCGCCCCTAGTATACATTCCTGAGAGGTAAAGCACCATGCCTGTAATTGGGATTAGAATCATTTCCCGCACACTTTGTTTCTCAGCGTCCGCGAGAAGATAGGAAGGCCGAGAGGGCATACCTGGCAACAATCCCCCTTCTGCAAGACCTAGAAATGCGCGGACAGTCAAGAATCCACCGTAGTTTTGGATGAAACCCAAGCACATTCCGATAACACCCCATGCAGCGGTGAGAAACGCTAGCCACAGTCTCGGACTGAACTTCTTCAGAACCAGATTACTGGGCAATTCAGCGGCGATATAAAAGGCGAAGAAGATGGCAAGGCCATTTGCATATTGACTGTTGTTCAGACCTGCGTCCTTTTCGAGGCCAAGAATCTTTGCATTCCCGACGTTGGTACGGTCGAGGAAGGAGCAAAGGAAAAGTAGGGCGAGAACAGGGAGGATTCTGCACGCAGGGATATGTTAAATCCAACATATAGCGCCTCAGATCGGAACAGGTCGTTTAAGAACGCGTACCTTGTATCAAGCTTCCAAAGAAGCTTTCGAGTCAACGCCTTGGTATGGGTATCGTCATCCAATGCCGAGATGGAGCCTGTTTTTTCGCCTGGAAGGACTTGGCTAGATGTCTCAAACTCATTCTGAGTATCTTCCGGTTTCTCGACCACTGGGTCTCTTACGACCTTCTCCTCAGCCATATGAGCGGAGGCTCGGGGACCCGAGTGAGACCCTCGAGGGAGAATGTGTCGAGTTGCGTGAAGAGATGCAACACCGACGACGTTGAATTGGATCCCTGGACAACCAAGTTATGGTTAATGGGCTCGTAATAGATATTTCCTGTTCTAGGAGGATTGAGAAAATGACACGGCCAGATTCCAATTCAAGGGTTCTGTGCTGTTTTTATATCGGGAATAAAATGCTGGGGCCCCCTGCTGTTTATTCTTACCCCGTGGGTTGGATTTTCACTGATGGACACCATCCCGCTCCTGTGATTGAATGATATACGTTCTGCCACCAAAATTAGGGATCAGCAACAGTATTGTTGGGCTCCCTGGCGAGCGGTCGCACGACACCAACGGCGGACAAGCACTGGGGAAGGTTACACTCTGTCGCGGCCAGGACCAATGAAAATGAAAGTGGTTGTGCAAGCGAGGGAGGGCGGACGCCGGTCAATGGCCGCATCAGACGGGAGACGACACGGCCATAGACAGCGACAACGATCAAGCAGGATCTGTCACACGGAGGGAGTTGATAGGGAGGAGGTAGAAGAATGCCCGAGTGCAGGCGGAAATGGTCCGGAGCAACAAGGAGCCTTTGGCCGAGGTCCAATGCCAAGCTCGCTCCTTCCTCTTCCGGCCATTTTCTTAGCGCCGGGTGTCGGCTCGGCGCTTCTTTATGCCGATAAATCTCCTCCCTTTGACATCAGCCGTTCATCAGTCGCGTGAGAAAGCCGCTCTCTCATTAACAGGTCTCAACAAATATCGTTTCCTCGCAGGGGCTTTGGGGTCCATCAAAATCGCCGGCAACGTTTGTCCCTACATGCCCTAGACCCCAGCCTTGCATGTGAGAGTCCACCAATCGCGTGTCATCAGATCCGTTATATGAGTGATAACGGCACTGGCAAGGCAAGGGGAGCTCGGCAAACCGGCCGACGGCAACCAACCTGTAAGGCATCTCTGTTCCTTTCCCTTATTTGCCGGGCATACGTTGGATCTGCCTCTTCTGTGCCAGTTGACACTTACGATCCCCAGCCCAGCGCCTTCAAGCAGGAACAAAGAGGAACCTCTCTCCTTCAGAAAACATGTCGAAGCTCTCCGAGCCGTTAAAACAGCTCATCAATGCCGCCCATGCCCTTCCAGGCCAGCTCAAGGCCCCGCCGTCGATACGCTCGACCTATTCTCGGATAGCGTCCAGCGCCAGGGATAGAGGCGTGGGCATCCCAGCCTGGGTCACTTTCTCAACCGCAGCAACAATGACGATGAACTCTCCTTCGTCAATGGTGGAGTTGTACCACCTTACACAGACACTTCCATCGGCACCCTCGCCAACCGACACCGCTGGACTAATGCGAGAAGTTGGCCTAAAGTGCATTTCTTTCAACGGCATTCCGCGTTCGATCAACTGCCTCGGCGCCTTCCGCGAAGGCATGCCCAAAGACGTCTTTGACAAGATCCCGCCTCCACCGTCACGGCAACTGACCTCTCAAAACATCGACGAATGCATGGCTCGAGGCCGCCGACTCTGGGACTCTGTCTATTACCCCTTCGAGGAGAAATTGCTCGACAAGCTTGCCCAATCCCACCCAAACCTGCCCGTGCATATTCTCTCGGGCCATTATTCAAACCTACTCTCAGACCCGCCGTCTGACGCGCCCCTCAGGGTGGGGAGAGTCCTGACTTCCCTCGCCGCCATCGCGTGTCTTCGCGCCCAGACGGGCGTGGGGCCTCAAGTGGTGAGCCACGTCTTCGGATTGCGCAAGGCATATCAGGACGGCACCGCTGAGAAGGACATTGAGGGCGGCGAGTGGCTGGCCACGGATGAGGGTAATCAGTGGATCTTGAACTGCATCGACGAGATTGTCCGGGCGCTTAGTGGAGGGAGAGGCACGACATTTGCGCCAGGCATGGGTGGCAGCGCGGACACACTCAAAGCAAAGCTGTAAGAACGTCTACTACACTTTTGCAAAATTCGAGCGAATATACATAGATCGCAAGCTTCTATTCCATACTACGCAATGAAGGGTTTTGCCGTAAAGAAAAGTCAACCAGCAGGCCGCAGACAAGCTTTCACGCAGGGAATGATAAAACATCACGAGGATGAAAATCCCTGTCAAGAGATGCCGAAAGATGCGAAGGATGAAGCTGCGAAGACGCAAAGCTGTGAAGGTACGCGGAGGAACTGCCCGGCTACCTACTTCTTTACAGGGTATTATATGCGTGAGAGATAAACTCAAACATGAACATGAACAAGAACACCAACGTAAGAATCAGCAGAAAATAATCGCAAGAAAGCCCCCAGTGTCGAACCGGTACTATTACTACCGCCGGGTTGTCTCGTTTCTTTCAAAAAGGCAGCAAAGAAGCGTAGAGTGACCTGGCTCTGGCTGTGAATACGGATTTGGACACGGATTTGGCGATGACGGATACCCTGATTTCATGATATAGACAAAGTCCTCTCTTCTTTTTGACCTCGTCTCCACCAAAAAACCCAAAGATTAAAAAAGAGAAAGAAAATTCGTACATATATATGTAGGTACATTTTATCTATCCTCGCCGCCTCTCTCTCTCTGAACGATTACGAGGGTATACACCGGTCCCAAAAGGAAAGAGAACCGAAAAACAACAACAAAAAAAAATCATTCCATCGACTTGACCTCATCCGCGACCGCGAACTTGGCATCCGTCTTGGCCTTGACGTCTTCCACCGACACACCGGGCGCCAGCTCGGTGAGGGTCAAGGTGCCCTTGACACGGTCGACTTGGAAGACGCAGAGGTCTGTGACGATGGTGCTGACGACACGGGCGCCGGTCAGGGGTAGGGAGCAGGACTCGACAATCTTTGATTTGCCGTACTTGTCGACGTGGTCGGTGGTGACGACGATCTTGGTCTGGTTGGGGTTGGAGACGAGGTCCATGGCGCCGCCCATGCCCTTGAACACCTTACCGGGGATCATGTAGTTGGCCAGGTCGCCGGCTGCGGAAACCTGGAGGGCTCCCAGGATGGAGACGTCGACGTGGCCGCCGCGGATCATGCCGAAGCTCTCGGAGCTGTCAAAAGTCGACGCCCCCGGGACGAGCGTGACGGTTTCCTTGCCGGCGTTGATGATATCCGGGTCGACTTCGTCCTCGGTCGGGTAGGGTCCCATTCCCAGAATACCGTTCTCGGATTGAATCCACACTTTGACATCGCTCGGCAGGAAGGAAGGTGCCAATGTAGGCATCCCCACGCCCAAATTAACATACATGCCGTGCTTGAGTTCCTTTGCGGCACGGCGGGCGATACGGTCTCTCCGGGCAAGGGCTTCTGACTTCTTGCTGGACATGAACGAGTCAGATGAGTAACCTTCCTCGTCGCTGGCGGAGCGAGTCTTTTTAATCTCGACTTTCTTATCCACGGTAGCGGGCACGATGCGGTCTACGTAGATGCCGGGGAGATGGACATCGTTGGGGTCCAGGGAGCCGATAGGCACAATATTTTCAGCTTCGACGATTGTAAGTCGAGCGGCCTTGGCCATGGCGGGGCCGAACCCTTTGGTTGTGTATCTTTCACACACGTTAACTTCGGTCTCTCGGAGTTGACGGTGGTGTGCACCAAGGACATACCTGAATTGACAATTTCCAGCTTCATCAACCTTCCAGGCTCGGATGATGGCCACATCACCGGTCAACGCGGTCTCCATGACATACGTTCTGCCATTGAAGATCCTTGTCTCCCGTGCCTTGCCCGCTTCCAGCACGCTCGCCTTCTTCGTCTCCGGGTCGGCGGGCCCTAATCTTGTTGGGATTTCGCCAGTTTGGATGAATGTGTCTAGAGGTTGTCAACGGACCTTTCCCTGTCCATAACCAAGGACCACTTACGGACACCCGTTGGCGTGTAAAATGCTGGAATACCACTTCCACCGGCACGAAGCCGCTCTGCTAACGTTCCCTGTGGACATAACTCAATGGCGATATTGCCGTTCAGATACTTTTGCTCGAGCTTCTTGTTATTCCCCAAGTAAGAGAGAATACATCGCGTAACCTGGCCCGATTGCGTCAGTGGTGACAGCCCGCCGGCACCCGCTGCACCAGCATTATTCGACACCGCGGTGAGGTTGTTGAGGGATTCGACACCGCGTCTGTGCATAGCTGCTATGATGGTTTCGGCCGTTCCACAGAGTCCAAATCCAGCACTGAGGATCGTGGAGCCTGATCTGATGTCCGCAACAGCCTCGTCGGCATCCTTGAATAGCTTCGACCTCGTCCGATCGATAACCGGCTGGCCTTCGCCGCTGCCTAGTGGCGATGACGCTGCTTCACGCCATCTTGTCCAAGAGGACGTAAAGTGTCGAATATCTTGCCGGCTCGAAACAATCCATGGTCTGAATCTTGATGGGCGGAAGGACAGGTGTTTGCCGGGAAGCAATATAGTGCCATTAGTTGTGGTCTTGAAGAAGCTAGCGGCTCTTGCATCGTCGACACAAAGAAGGAGAGTGCGCCTCGCTGTTGCTGCCATCTTGGTTGTTGGCCTTTTTTCCGTCACTTTCTGTGTCCGATGTGGATGGATTTCGACAACAATATATCCTTGTGATCAATGAAGAGCCCCAAGGAATGGAAAAATAATTATTCGAGATTATGGATGGGAGCACTAGGAGGAACTCAGCGACATCGGCACAAGATACGGGATTAGTCGGCGGCGAATCGTTCAGTGCGTCAGATCTGGTGTCTGAGCAGTCCACGTGACCAGAGTGTGGTCTCGGTGATATTTTTGATGCCGAATTCTGCGAGCAAAGTCAGCAGCATGCGATGGATGGAGGAAATTGCCGACGATGTCGTTCGCGTTTCTGTGGACGAACCACACGCAAAGTGGGACTTCGCGGGGAGAAAGGATGCGGGAATATACAAACCTGCGCAGTGAGGTTGGCCTCTCGAGGTCTTGCATGTATATTGCTGCAGAAATCGCGATTTTACCTTCGCCTCAAGAGTATGGTCAGACTCTTTTAACATAGGCATCGAGCGGCTGGCTGTTCGTCCGCTAGAGATTCTCAAGCTCAGTCATCATTCCTGGCAGTGGCGCGCCGGCCAGTCCCGTCGTGGGTTTTTTGGGCAGAGCAACAGATGATGGCCAAATCGAAGAAGCAAGGCCAGCCGTTCTGGCTTGGGTGAGTATCGGGGCTCGTTTCGGCCAAAGCCGGATGCTGACTGGACATAGAGGTGCTGCTGCATCAATGGCAGCATGTTTCAGTATGCAAATCCAGTCCCTTTTTCTTTTCGTGGGAAAGTACAACGTAGCACTGCGTGTCTGACGTAACCTTTCAGCTCATCCGTTGGATCAGACAAAATAGTAGGTCCAGTACCCCATTTGAAGGAATAAGAAGCATTGACAACAACCATAGCAGGATGCAAGTTATGTCCACAAGGCCAAATATGCTGCGGACGATGGTGCAATTCGCAAGCAGAGATGGTAAGCAATTGCATGGATGCCTTTTCCGTCACAAGCAAGCTCATGCAAATGGTAGGCATTCGGTCGCTATGGTGGGGAATCTCAGCTTCGATGCTTCGCCAATCCACGTATTCGACTGCGAGGTTCGGTCTTTATAATTACTTTGCGGGTACAGCTAGAGAACGAACCGGTCAAAGACGGTTACCCAGCTTGTGGGAGATCGGCTGCGCGGGAGCTGCGGGCGGTCTGGCTGGACTCATCGGAAATCCCACAGAGGTCTGCATCTAGTGCAACGGGGTTAAAGAGGTCGCTGATGTGTGATATAGGTTGCTCTGGTGAGGATGTGTGCCGACGGGGCAAGATCGCCAAGTCAGCGATTTGGATATAAGCACGCCTTTGACGCCGTTATCAGAATCGGTCGTGAAGAAGGTGTTAGGACCTTTAGCAGAGGTCTAGGCCCTAACGTCGTCCGCAGTGTGATAATGAGTAAGTCTCAAATATGCCTTGTCTGATTGGTGGCTAATCAGGTCCAGATGTTTCTCAAATAGCAACGTATGCCACTCACTTCCGCAGTGCTCTTGATACTCATACCCATGCAGGTATTCCGCAGCCAAGCGGCAGCTCCTTTCGAACCCTTCTTTAGGCCTTAGAGATGGAATTTTCACGCATTTCCTCGCCTCGCTGCTCGCGGGCACGGTTGCTACAACTGCTTGCGCACCTGCTGATGTTTTGAAGAGCCGGGTCCAGAATGCAGTTGCCATCGACGGGGTGAAACCAGTAAGGCGTACACTCTGAGCCTCGACGGAGCTAATGAACTTCGAATAGAGTGTAAGCAAGATCATTGCAGAATCTCTGCGCAACGAGGGCCCGGGATTTCTCATGAGGGGCTGGACTCCTGCTTGGCTGAGACTGGCGTAAGTCATCGACAAAACTCCTGTCCTGGCCAGTATCTAACAATCGGCAGGCCGAATACGGTCCTCACTTTCATCTTCATCGAGCAGCTGCAGAAACTGGTGAATCTTTCGAGAGATATGAAGTCGCCCGAACCAGTGCCCGCTATGGTGCCCAGTCCTGCAGCCCCTCAGTAGATCTAATGTCGTATCTGTGCTGAAAAACGGGCTCCGAGTTGCACGAAAATGACGCAACCGAGGGCGCTCAGGTAACATTTGGCCAGTCCAACCAGTCGAAGAACATTGTCTCATCAAGTTGGAACAAGTCCTGCGAGGTACTGGCGTTGTTGATAGCTTCGAGGATCTGGTCGTCGGTCATGTCAAAGACATACGGTTCTAGACGAATATTTGACGCGGGCATTGGAGCTGTTTGGGACGGATCGTACTCGGCGTTTTGATCTTGCTGGTGAGGTTGCTCTGAAGGCCCTGGAACCAAGCCTTGGGTCTCTTCTGGAGGACTGAGAACGGAACTCTGCATGATTCGACGGATATGCCTCGCGAAAAGGACCGATAAGCCCTTGCGGTGTCTTGGGGAGCTCCCAATTCTCTCCAATACTTGGGTTGTCTCTTCAATTAGCGCCTTCGCATTCGGGGCTACCATGGCCCGATTGCCCAGACTTGTGGTCCCAAGAGCCAGTGCAAAAGTGGCCGCGAAAGAGACCATGATGACAGTATTGTTGGGCATCGATTTGAGTCGGCTCTCCCCTTGGACTGCTGCACGCATAACATTCATCGCCGATGCCAACCCCGCAGCCCGAAAGAATTGTTTCACATCGTTTGATGCCGTTGGGTGGTTAACAACGTTACAGTATGTAGAAAGCTTCGTGTGAGAAACCAAGATCTCGACGTACGGAGGCAACTGACCTGTGTAAAATAATAAGAACTTGATAAATTAGAAGTCTGTTTGATTCTTACCATCGCCTTGGGTGATCTGGCGTGACCAGACCGCATACCACTGTTCGAAGAATCGGTCGATCTTGTCTTTTAGGCTACCAAATCATCAGTCCAAACAATAACTTCATAATGGCTTCATAACCTCCGACACCGCCGTGGTAGGGGGCGAACATACAATCTCACGGCCGTCGGGCCACCATTGACACCTTGGCTTCCATCGCAAAATTCGCGCACACCCGTGATGAGACCAACCTGGCCGAAGTCAGCAGAAGTCAGAACATAATTCGGATAGCAGCATACCAGGTCTCTCCTCAGCACGGCTGCTGAGATGACACTGCCGTCCCATCGGTCGGCAATGTCAGAGATATGCCACGTATCACAGCTATCTACCAGTGGTCCGATTGGGACTGCGTATGGCCTTCCTCTTGCGAGACAGATGCTGCAGGAATCCGTCAGCTCGTAGCACTGCGTGGAGTTGATATGATACGCTTACCCTCGATCAAGGACGAACAATGCCAACCATACTCGCTCGCGAGTTCTCAGTAAACGGCGACCCAAGGCCGAAGACGGATCAACTTGTGGAAACCCATCCAATTGCAGGGCCTTTGTGGAGTCAATACAATCGGCTTTGGCGACTCGATTCAGGAAACCCGCGGGACGAATCGTGGGAGAAGGGACCACGATCTTGTTCAATGAGAGGTCCAATGCCAGGGTCAGGGCGATCGAGAGATAAGCGCAAGTCTCATCATCTGCCCAGTGTTTCGCAGGCGTCATCCAAGGAATGTTGACCATGAAAGCCAATACGATCTCCACTGATCTGTGTCTGTTGAAGATCACAGTTCGGGCCAGGTGGTTTCGGTGATTGGAGAGCCGCTTCGACAGAGCCTCCGCTTTCGGGAGAAATAGGGCAGACGCGGCGAGAATAGAGGTAAACAGAAAAGACGACCTCGAGCGCACAAACGAGGCTGTATGTAGGTTGGGATCAAGACCCCATCTTGTATGAGACAGTCGTTCGTAGAAATACGCAAATAGTGAATCGGCTTCCTCCTGCGTCACGAGGCCCAAGTCTATGGGGTCGAGGTCCGGAGAATTATCCAATCGAGGCATCAATGATCCAAAAAATTGCTGCAACTCAACATCGCCAGGGTTTGCGTCGTTCGTTCCTGGGTGCGATGCAACACCGGCGGGCGACGTCGACATTGCGGTCGAGGGAGATTGGCCAGGAAGCACAGAAGCCATAGCAAGAAGTTGTAGGGGGTTGTCAGCATTGTTGAGTGCAAGTTCGTCAGGCTTCTCGCCATGCTCCACGCCAGACACGTCATTACTCTCCTCCCTCGCGCAATTATTGTCACCAGGAATCAAGCTTTTTCGCGACTCTGGAAAAGACTGTGGAAGGCCTGTTGTCGGGGTAGTTGAACTGGCTTTCCGCTGGAGCATAGGGCTTGTCTGGGGAGCTCCGATCAGCTGGCGAAGGTCTGCTTCAATTTCGGAGCGCAGTCCAGTTGAGCCATCTTTATTCCGCTTCAGCGCTTGTTCGACCTGATAGATAGCCTTTTCCAACCCGGTCCTCTTGCTGATGGTCCGGATTTAGCCTTCGGCAAACTGTGCGGAGCTCCACAAACTCACTTTTTGACGCCTTTGTATCTCCCTACATGGTACTCTGGTGTCACGCATTGCAGGCCGGCCTGCTGGCATTTCCGACACACTGGAGCGTTCGCGTCACGCGTACATTTCACCTTGCTCCGACGACATTCGAGACATGCAGCCTGCTTTGCCTGTGCAGAACCAGACGTGACATCTTGGTTTGCCGACGAACTAGAACTCATGCCTTAATGTGGGACATCATTCGAGATTTGCGCTTGTGTGAAAAGTCGAGCTGAAAATCTGATCAATCATGCAACCTCTGGGCAACACGCGTAATCTGACCCGTAGTCCAGCCCATGCGCCCACCACCGCAACAAAAGGTATCACAGTGTTTCCTTGGCTAGCTCTGCCCAAGTTCAGGAGGAAAATGAGACCAAGAAATGATGCGAGTGGATTCGTGTGTGATGTCGAAGAGAATGGGTTTTGTTGGTGCGATTCGAGCGAAAGACGTTGAGGCTGGGTCGATGACTAAGCTCCCCCACAAACTCGGGCTCCGCAACTTCCCGAAGAAGCGAAAGCACGTGAAGTACCGAGTAGGTCTCCCAGAGACAAGGCTGATCGCATTTAGGAGGTCCCTGAGAGCCTGGCATTGCCCTTCCAGCTTTGGGAGATAATTAGGTGTTTCTGGTGCTTTCGTAGCTAAGATCGCTTGAAGTATAACAGTCGTTGACCGCGCAAGCACCCCTCCATCAACACCCGGTGCTTGTTAGGAGGATTTGTGCATCGAAGGTACCGTTGAGGGAGAGGAAATATCAAGCGATATTTTCCAATGCAGGATCTGCATTCGGTAATATCTTTTTCTGTTTACAGCAGAGGTTATGCCTCAATATCCCGTGATTCAACTGGAGGGCCTAGGATGAATTAGAAGATAAATATCCGAGTCCCCATGAGGAGGTTGGACTATACTCCACTGAAAATGTTGCCAAATTGAACTGTTCCTGACGAGAAATCCACTGCCCTTTTTCAAATACTCCGGGACCCGTCCATCTTCTATGCACGTGGGGAAAAATGGCTACCAATGTAGGAATGAGGAATCCTGGGACACCCGCTGACCACATATGAACAGCTCTAGACACCTAGAATACTTTGCAGACAGTATTGGCGAGAGGTAAGGAACTCCAATATCCCAATGACAAGACTGGCAATTGTTTAGGAAGGAGTAGCTACTAGCGGGCGACACAGAGAATGGTGAGGTCGTGCCCAATATATCAATTGACAATGTGCAGAACTGCGTATCACAAATTTCGGTGCTGACAGGGCTTCATTGCCTCGATGTCCGCTACACTCTGTCACTGAGAGTATACTGCTTGACATATATGTATAACTTGAGACTTGTATATGTACATGCAGTCACTTGCGATGTGGCGACTAGAGCGGTAGGGACAGGTGGAGCCAGGTTGCGTCAAACATCCAAGTCAAGCGACGAGGCTGCGCCTCGAGGAAGTATTCGGACTTGACTACAAGCCGTCCTCTGGTCCTAGAGACAGCTCTAGTTTACTTGGTGTACCTAGCCCGCACGTTCCTTAAATGATTGGGAAGCTCATGCGTCTTGGGCTCTGCCATCGGCGAAGTTTCCTGGGAGGGCTGCTATCCCCAAACATACGCTCGGTGCATCTCCAGAGGCCCGTACAGGATATCCCTGAAGGCATGGATCCAGGATCAAAGTGAGTACGTCAGGAGATGCTATCCCAAAGCGCGACAGCAAGGTCTTCTCGGGGTCTGGAGCTGGCGCATTATTAACGCCGAAAGCAGCATCTAGCTAGCCACATGGCATCTGAGTCCGCAAGTGTGCCCACCCAGTGACCATTCTTTTTCCTCGCCGGCTCACCGCTACTGCTGAACAAGCCTCTCTGTAGCGCCGGCGGATGATGGTATCCGTTCGGCAGAGGCTGTACGATGACCTCAGGGTCGGAAGGCTCCGCGATCTGAAGTAAGTACCGGGGACTTGCATGTCCACGACGCAAGCATCGGCGATGTAAATCCGACAAGCGCCTAAGAACCGCGGAGGAACCAGGAAGGGAAGGTTCCCCCACACTGAAAGCCAGCGCCGGCGTACTCTCCCTCGCTCCATGGTAAACTGGAGATTGTTTCAGGAGGCTGACACGGATCCAGATCCGCAAGACTGGAGACGCCCTTTTCGTAACGTTGCGGGCTGTCGAGGGGATGTTCGAGTCTCTGGAATTTGAATTTGAGAATCTGCCGGCTTACGTGCGTATATCCGCATGCTGCCCATTCGATGCCCATCAACTGCCGTCAGAAACAAATAGGAAGCGTACTTGGGCTGAGGAGAATCCAGAATCCCAAATATGAATTGCTCTCTCCTTCAAGATTCCAATACCATACCGGTTATCAAAGGAATTGAGGACCTTCGTCATTCATATTCCCGTATAGGTTGGTATCATGTCGAATGTCGGGGACGGCCGGAGCACGGCCTCGGCGATTTTCCTGTTCAGGCATTTGAATGGTACCTCACGGTACCTCTCCCTTATGTAAACGATGGATCGTCTCCTGATGGTGCTCTCAGAGCAGCGCTCGTCAAACGGATATGGGTGCTTAGTTCTATGGTAGAAAGAAGAGTCACTAGGTGATATTCAGGTAAA